AGAGCAGCCAAGAGCCAGCAATTAGTTCCTTCGACTTGTCATTGGACTTCGGTGGCGGCAGTCTGTTTTTTTTTTCTTTTTCTTTTTTGGGCGGTGCCGTGTACAGGAGGCCCGGGCAATTGTACTTGATTTCCCGCCCAACAGCCGCGCGCGCCGAAGTGCGGCGACATCTCTCGCGCCGTGGATTCTGTAGTAAACTAGTGGAATACTCCCCACTTGCGGTGCGAACGAACACCCAAAGCGCCTCAAATGCTTCTACTGTTTGCGGGTCAAACACATCGGGTGGGCCGTTCGTCACGTGAGGGCGGCGCAGCGTACGGAAGCGGCCCCTCTGCTCTCGGGCGGCGTGCAGCCGGCAGTCGCCGCATCAGCAAGCCGGGCGCCCAACCGAATCCCGGCCCGGCGAAAGGACGGGGTCCAGCGGAGGGAGGGCGGAATGGCCGTGAGAGAGCGCGGGGGCACGCGGCGTGCGTCGCGGCAGTTCCCCCGGCATATGCGGGGCGTTCGCCCAGCGGCCTTGTTTGCCCCGCTGGGGAAAAAAGAAATCCGCCCCACGCGGACGAAGAAGGATAGAAAAAAGAAGAAGCGGATGAACACCTTCCCCCTGCACGCGCTGGCGAGAATTCTTGCGATTCCCGCGACGCACTCCGGAAGCATCTGTCCACGGCGCGCGGCGCGAGTCACGCCCAGGGGCTGTTTGGCCGTGTCCAAAGGCAGCGCCCCCACAAAGAACGACCATGCGATGACCGTGAAGAGGGCGCGGCGGGACTAATGCCAAGGATTCCTCGGCGCGAAGCGTGCGCAGAGTGCCCGCGCCGCCCCTCAACCCATCGCCACCGAGCGCACACCCCAGGCGCCCACGTTGGCAGATTCCGCGGCAATGGCGGGGCAAGAGGCACGCGAAAAAACTACGCCGTGGTTCAGAAACAGCTTGTGTGTGGGGAGACGCCGGAGCACTTGCTCCCCTGTGCGGCACAGAAAAGCCAAACTCGGCCTGGAGGAATTGTAGGCACCCGAGCTCCATTGTAGTAAACAACCGGCCCGGCTCCGTCTGTGGTCTGTTCGGTCTCCCAAGCCCTGAACCGTTCCCCGTCCGCGGCGACAACACGTGTGTGGATGGCGTCGCTCGACCGGCGGTGGAGGGAGCGCCTTTCATTTTATTGTTTTACTTCTTTTTCTAGTTTTGTACTCTTTTGTTTCGGCTTCACCCTCGCACTCGCCCGCGGGGGCGTGCGCCTTCACTGAAGCGCATCGCAACTTCCCCTCCTGCACCACTCATCGGGGGAGGAGGAAACGAAACCGACAAGAGAGCTCGGATCCAACTTCCGCTGTTCCCGCACGAAGGGAAAGAGGGAACGTTGCCACCGCCGCAATCTCCTCAGGAGGGCGATGGGCTCCGCACATGCAGCGGAAGAATTGTTACATTTTTTTTTCTTTTACGGGGCGGGAGGCACAAGTGCCGGCCGCAGCGCCGCCTCCCTCCGCAAGAGACGGCAGTCGCAAAAGAAGGCGGTGACAATTGCTCTGCGCAGCCCCAAGAAACACACGCGCGGTGAGAGCCCGCAGATTGGGGCGCCGCCCCGCAGAAGTCAAAAACAAAAACAAAAAACACACAAATACAAGTCACGCGCCGCCTTCCCCCGCCCGGTCCCGCCCCTTTTTTTAAAACCCCGCCGGCGGCGACACGCAACGCGCGTGCCCGCCAAAATTCCCGTCGCAGGCCCCCACCACAAACCACCCAACGCCGTCCCCACTTCCCTCAGCACTCTGCAACAGGAGTGCGGCGCAGCGTAAAGATAAAGATAAAACAAAACAAAACAAAAATGAAGCAGCCCAGTGGCACCCACCAACACCGTCTGTCACAAGCGATACCTGGAAGCAGCAGCACGAAGACACGCGCAGCAGCTGCTTCCACCATGCGGCTACAAAAACACACAAACCCCTGCAGTGACACAGCCGCTGCCGCCTCAAGAGCAACCGCCAGCTCTCCAGCCGCACCGCGGGGCCCGTGGAAGTAAGACGCCACTGTGGGGCTGAGGGGGAAACAAGAAACCGCCTCACCCACCACGCACGACACTTCCACCTTCTGCATCGGATATCATATCTCCAATTGGTACTGATGCACGTTCCGATTCCAAAATGCCGCAATTTTTTCTTCCGCTTTGCCTTGCCCTCCATTCAGTTGCTGGACGATACCACATCTCTGCCACGTGGGCGTTGGCACGCTGCCTGCACGTTGCACGTAAATAATCTCCCACAAAAAGTCCAGGGCAAAAGTGTCCTCCACATTAAAATACTCCGCCATATAAGCATTGAACTGTCTCACCGTGCTGGTTGTAATGTGACGTCTTTTTGAGGTTGCCACCTGCAGCCCAACCATCGTCTTCTGTGATGATTTGAGAAAAAAAAAGGCGTCCATCAACGGAAAGCTTTTGACAGCCGGTACGTACAGCACCCCGTGCTCTACATCAACCTTCCTCAGTTTGTATTCTAGTGGCGGTAGTAGGACGGATTTTTTGGGGTGGTCAGACGGCCACACTCTCAGCGCACATGGCCGCCGCGGACGCCATGCTGGTGGCTGCAGTTCCTCGAGTTTGTACTGTATCGCATCTACAAAGGTCGACAGTATGAATACGGGCGCTGTACACTTTTCCAGAGCGCCTGACAAAGGAGAATCCATCAACCTCCACGCAAGCAACAGTAACTCTTCCTCCTCCATTATCGTCGACAACTTCTCAAATGCTTGATGCCAAAGTTTCTCGCAGACCGGTGCGTTGAGAAATTCTTCACAGCCGATGTCCCCCTTTATTCGGACAAGTCTGATAAGCTGGTGAGATACACTCTCGCCATGCCACAGTTTTCCAGTTCCCATAATAGAGCAATGCTCAACATCCGACGAGGTCATCGAGTTCACGGCATCCTCAGTCGAGTTAAAGCGCTCCACATATTCAGCCTCGGTGAGGACGCAAAGTAAAATCGGTCCGACACAATAAATGCGTTTTTCAACCACCTTCCAGTAGTCTGCCTGCTCCTGTGCAGGGCGATCACGCGTCTCCCAAGCACACATCGCCTTCACGTCGCTCTCGTCGGGGCAATTCATTATAATCAGTCTGGGACGCATTACGCGCCTCCAAGCCTCAAACTGATTTTCGTGTGGGCATGACAACACAATCATGCCCCATGATGTAGAGGGTGGAAGATCATCCGATGGTCCATGACCTGTTTCATCGACATCGTAGATAACATACCCGTTCATGCAACGCCGAGGCAACTCGTTTACAACCGTTATAATATTGTCCTCACCAAAGCATTCCGCCACCGTTTTTTTGGTTTTGTCAAACACGTACGCCAACTCTCCTCCAAAGCAGTAGACAACCACTTGGAGTTTCTTATCATCGTAGTGAAGCAGCTGGTGGAGAAGGTAGGAGCCAGCGTTCATCGACTTCCCGATGCCGGGCGTCCCAAGCAGAAGGCGCAGCCTCACGTCAATCAAGTTTATATCGTCAGTGACGAAAGCCCCGTTTAGGTCGCCCTGGACGATCCGCCACACCCGCTCCACCTCAGAGGTGATGTAGCAGTTGTTAATAGCTTCCATCATACGCCACGAGTACGGCCATCCCCTGTCCGAGGTGAGTATCATCAGCCTGGGACGTGGTGGATGGAATTGATCCTTTTCGTTATAGTTTTCGAGAACTCCACCAGCCTCTTTGTACTTCCAAGAAAATGGTGGTTTGCCCTCTTTCACCACCATTCCCATCCATTCACCGTCAGAAGCCTCAACAACATGACTCCACGTCGCGTTGTACACAGACTCGTACAACCCCTCCGGCGTCGGCGTTTGAAGCAGTATTGTCCGTAGCCGCAAGTCATGTAGCGCTTTGTCAAGTTTTCGCGTCCTCTCGGTGCCATCCATGCCCTCCGCTCCCAATTCCCCCCACTGCTTGAGAGTGAGCACGCCCTTGCGATGAAGATCGGCCACGTCGCGCATGATAATCCGTTCGTTATTTTTCTTACGTTCCATCACGCGCCTAACCCAGTTGTAGGGCTCCGATGCCTTTATTGTGCCCAATAATTCAGCGTCGTGGATAAATCTCATGGGGTCCGCAGCAAACTCTTCCATAAGGACGCCCTCATTGGACTCCACAATTCCTCTGCCGCTGAATTTACCACGAAGGAAATCATTCAGCGTCAAGTTGAAGGCAAAATTTCCCTCCATAAGTATGTCTTCAACCATACTCTCAAGGGTCCACTGTGGCCGCGCAGGTGCTTCCTCCAACCTTCGGCGCTGCGCAGGAGGTTCATTCGAGTCGCTGGTAGGCCAGTAACTCGCCCACCATTGTCCGCGCGGTACTGCATCGGCGGAACTCTCCGCGGCAGCGTGAGTTTCCTCTTCGCGCCTCTCAGACATTGTTTCCTTAATTTTGCTTCCTTTCTTAGTCGCTGTTGTCTTGAGCTGCAGCCGAACACCAACCACCAGCCAAAAGGAGAATGATGAGAGAGAGACAAAAATAAATAGTCGCACAGACACACGACCCCCACGCAGCCACATTCAGCCTGAGAGAGAGAGAGAGAGAGCCACCGCAGCCCACACGGTGCGGGACACACACACACGCACTCACCGCACACCGCCAGGGGCAGGGCAGCCGCACTGCACAGCAGCCTCGCCACTCCGCCCACCTCCCCCCATGACGGCACAGCCAAATGAGAACCCCCGCCACCGCATCGCGCGGCCCCGCCACTCCCCCACAAAGACGATCGCCCCTCCCCGAAGAAAAGGGGGGCGTAAGTGTGTGCACAGTGCAGTGCACACGAAAACTGCGACGCTGCTCTTCTCTTCGCATTGCACACGCCATTCGCGTCCCCACACACATCTCCGTCTCTCTCTGTGTGCGTGTGTGTATGCAGCTACGCGCAGGAATCACCCACTCGCTGTGAAAAAAAGGGCCACCGCAGTGCCCCCCACGACGCAAACACGCAGGGCGCCCAGCACGCGGACTCCGCGAGGGGACATTTTGCCACGCAACGCGGCCGCACGGGGCGCATCCAGCGAAGGCCGCAGCAGCACAGAAGAGGGGCCCTTCACTCTCTCCCGCGTCGCTGCAGCTGACGGCGCCGCACTGGAAGGCAAGACACCCCCACACACAAGCAGCGCCCTGCACCCGCAAGGAAAAAAAAAAAAAGAGAGAGAGTGAGAATGGGCCACGGCACACTCCCTTCCCTCACTTTCTCCTTCTGCCTATTATTTTCTTTCACAGGCACGGAAGGAGGCAGCAGAGGTCACCAAGCGCAACTGCCAGCACCCCCGGCTACGAAAGGAGCATTCACGTGCCCCGCAATATATATACCATGT